AGGGTACCGCCAGTCCCTAAACTAATCCCCCAACTTGCTTAGGGCCTAAACATGAAACCCTGGACCCCAAGGCCTATTCCCTCAACATGATAAGCTCAACCCGAAACCTAAGGGCGAAGCCCTTGGCTGGGTCTTCCGGTTCCCTCGTTTTCCGTTTTGGAAGTCTTGGGTTCCTGATAATTAGGAGCCCAGAAAGAACATAAGCATCAGCATTTTAAAGGGATATCCCTACCTCGTTGGGCTTCATTATAAGGTGGTTTATATGGGATATCCCTATCCTAGTTTTTGCTTATGTGCTTTTTTGGGGCCCTAGATAAAGGTTCGCAATACCACAAAGGCAGCCGTATTTTTAATCCTAGGCTAACTGGGCATCCTAGCTACCAGTGCCTTGGGCTCTGCATTGACGCTGCTTCCCTAATCCCCCCTAAACCCTAAACCCCTAAACCCCTAACCCCTAGACCCTAAACCCCTAAACCCCTAAACCCCTAAACCCCTAAACCCTTAAACCCCTAAACCCGTAAGCCCCTAAACCCCTAAACCCCTAAACCCCTAAACCCTCAACCCTAAACCGGTGGTGAGGATCCCGAACCGCTCGGTTGCGGCACTCGAACCCCGAGGCCAAGACCTTTTCAAAGACCTTAATACCCCAAACTCAACCTTATACCCGAAAGCCGCAACCCTCAACCTAAAACCCCAAAACTCTACACTCTAAAATCCCCAAGCCCTCTAATGAAGCCCTCATCCTTCTACCCCAAGCCCTACCTTCAACCCGCCCTGAGGAGCTCGGACTCCAGAGCCCCCTAGAGAGATTGCAAGCAGCCAAGCCCAAATCGAAACCGCCGCCAAGGGTTAAGGGTTAAGGGTTTAGGGTTTAGGGGTTTAGGGGTTCACACTAGGGTTAAGGGTTTAGGGTTTAGGGTCCAGGGTTTAGGGGTTTAGGGGTTCACACTAGTTCAAATGTCTACAGTCTTGTTCTAGTCAAAACTATGTAGTTTAACCATTGCGGTAAAAGACGTATGCCCGTCAGCCGTGGAAGCAAGCTGCTCGAAGGTGGTCCGCATGCAATGCTTTTCGCCCCTGCACGTTCAGCTTGTGCAACATCGAAGGAAACTATTGGTAGTTAGGCCACCAGGGCAAAAGCTCTATGCCCGTCCGCTGTGCAGTCAAGCGGTCCAAGGAACGCTCACGCGCAGTGCATGTCGTCCAGACGCTTTCAGCAAACTGCCTTGGACGTGAGGGCGCCGGCATCAGCGAGAGCCTGGTAAAGACCATGAAATGGCCGTTACTTGCCAGTGCCTGCCCAATGGAAGAGCTGGCAGAGACCAGCAAATGGCCGGCACGTGCCAGTGCCTGCTCAATGGAAGTGCTTGTGTTGTCAACAGCAAGATGAGCAGATCAGTCATGAATGAAATCCTGCAGCTTGCCACAGTCAGTGGTGTTTTTGGACACTGAGGCGAAGCTACAAAGTTGAAAAGGCCCCACCCCCAAACTCAGCTGGCCCCGCCCAGCCCCCCAGCCCGACTCAGCCCAGCCTAGCCCCAAGGTCGAAATGAAGGTTCCAAGAAAAAGATCTCGTTCAAAACTTTCGTTCAAATCGTTTCTGTCAAAACTTATCGACGCCCAAATGTTTACCAGTTTCCATACCCTAAACCCTAAACCCTAAACCCTAAACCCTGGAGAGCCTTCGTCTACAGCCTTGGAGGATCGTACCAGTGTGCCCTCCAATTCGCCGGTGAATGGGTCCGCACCTCTGCTGGGACGTGATGAAGTCTTGGCACAGCGAGTTGCCTATGTCATTCTCCGTGACTTGTTGGCTATCTTAGATGATCTTGTGGCTTCCTCGGGAGTGGCGTCTGGGCACACATCTCCTTCCCCTGGGATGCCTGCCTCTTCGGTTCTTCCTTCACATCAAGTTCCTCTACATCCCCAAGAATGTGATGCTGGTCTCCCTGAGCACCTGGAGGTTGACCCTGATGGGGACATGGTCATGGGGGAAGAGCTGGGCGTTGACGATGGGGGAGAAGTTGATGGTGATGACCAGTTGCCCGCCGAGTACGCCTCTACCACTTCGGGTACGCCTTGAATTTCGTTTGCGAAGTTTGCTGTGTCTGGTGGGGTCGCTGCTCTACGTCCTTGTGGGGCTCCTGGGTGTCTGTGCTTGGCGATAGGTTTCACACTCTACGAGCCCAATGGGGGCTAGCGCGGATGGAAAAGTCCGACTACCGTAGATTAAAAAAAAAACCCAAACCCTACCATGGCGTGCTTTTCGTTCATCCAAGAGCAGGCGAAGACCGCCCACGCGAGCACCCGCAGAGCCATGCGTCGGATCAAGCTCAGCTCTTCGGACGACCTATCTGAGGTTTAGGGCATGGCGTTTGGTTTGCGGGTTCAGTGTTTAGGGCTTAAGGTTTAGGGCGTAGGGTTCAAACTTTAGGGTTTGAGGTTTAGGGTTTTATGTAGAGAACTGGTTGACGTAGTGACAAAGGGTTAATGTGTCTATTGGGGGCTTATAATTGCTCTTCCGGGCTTGTCCTTACGTCTGTAAACTACAAGTAACGTGGCTCCAGACAAAGCTGTCTACTTGCCAAAGGCCCTGATCCTTGACGTGTCGTATAGGGCGCTCGGATTGTTGGGGCTCTTGAAAGCTTTAGGAGGTTTTTCTGGGTTGATGAAGGGTCTTCTAACTTAAGAATACCGTGCGACCCCGCCTGATTTTCCCAACATTACGCCCTAAAGGCCCTGACCCGAAATCCCAAAGCTCTGAAGGCTCAAACCTTAAAGCCCAAATCCTAATTCCTGAATCCTGCCTTCGACCCCTCTGGCTTGTGACTGCTAGGGGCCGAAAGACCTGAATGTATATTTTTGGGGTGTTCCAGGGTTAGGGTTGGTCCTCAATCCCAAGAAGAGCACCCATCATGGACAGACTGAGGAGACCCTGGGTTAGTAGTAAGGTTATCACTATGGAGGTTTGGGGTTTCGGGATTCGGGGTCGTAATTTTCCCCACAAAGGAACCGCGTAGCTACAAGCGACGTAGCCCTTTGTAGCTTTACTTACGAAATCGCCTGATCTTAGCACCCGAATCCCTAAACCCTAAACCCTAAACCTTAAACCCTAAACCCTAAACCCTAAGCCCACCCGAGTAGAACCCCTTACAAGCCCCAGTCGATCCGGCAGAAGCCCTATACGCTTGCTGGGTCCCCCGTTTCCTTCAAGCACGAATGAAACGGTGCCGGCTTTCTCTGCCGGGGACGAAGTAAATCCCATTATAAACTATAGAAAGCATTCATAGTACAGTTCCTGAAGGGTCCTTACTAAAGCTCGAGTACGACATAACCCCAAGCCCTATTCTAATTATCAAGGCGTCTATGCTCTACCCTGAAAGTACACTTTGTAGTAACCCCTCTAGAGCCCTTCAAACAGAACCTTATTCTAACTATCAAGGCCCCTACAGGTGAGCCAACCCTGCATGCCTTAAGCTCGAGATGTTGAATCCCCGGGGTTCGGATTTAATGGTTGAGTGTTTAGGGTTTTGGGCCGGTTTAGGGTTTAGGGTTTAGGGTTATATCTCCTCCGGTCCACACCTAGCTGCCTGCTCTTCTATCCCCGGTGGGTAGGGTTTAATGGTCTGGTCCCAGACTGCCCAGCACCCCAAACCCTCAGACCGCGAAACCTTGAAGCTCCCCGTAGAACCCATACAAAACCCTGGGTCGGAACAAGTAGTGTAAGGAATATTCCGCTAGAGTCCTTACATAGTTGTACTATAGCTAGCCCGAAGCCCTATTCAAATCATGAAGGCCTTATATACACGGCTTCCCAAAACCCTTAAAGGCTAAACCCAAAAAACGTAAAGAACCTAAACCCGAATTCCCGTCGCGGAGTCCCTCAGGTGTCTTCGCAAGAAGCCTCGATGATGTCGATGCAGGACTTTAGTTGGGGAGTTCCTTCATGCTTTTGACTAGGGTTTCTAGGTTTTCAGAGGGTTGCAGGCTTTCTTTGTCGTCGGTGTTTCTGTTTACCATGCTTGAAACTGTGGCTTTCACGGTTTAGGCTTTACAGGGTTTGACACGCTTGAGTGTTTTTCTTGCTTTGGATCAGCAGCAGCACAGCACCATGGGGTGGCAACCACATTGTATGATGAAGTATCTCCATGCCGAGCAGGTCGCAGCGATGATGGGTCCATGCGTTGCAAAGGGTTGAGAGTATAGGGTTTAGATGACTTTAGGGGTTGCGCAGCCTGCGCAGCACAGGTCATCTGGGACTGAGACAGGGCGCGGTTAGTTGCCCTAAAGACCTATATAACTTGACTAAACCTTTACGACCCCAATCCCGACACAAAAGAATTGAACACAACTTTAAGCCGCTTCACCTTAAGCCTTAAACTAGGCACCGAGCAGCACCAGAATCTGGAGCGCGATTTCGAAACGCCGGCAGCTCAGAGACCCCTTGAGGGGGCTTTTTGGGGTCGTAAACATTGGTCATTGAAGGCTTTTAGGTGCATTTGTTTTGCATTGTTTCTTTTATTCATGCCCCTCTCCAGCAAGCGTCGTTGTGCTATCTATCTATCTATCTATCTATCTATCTGTCTACCTATCTATCTACCCACCTACCTA